ATTATATATCTTCAAGAGAGAAGAGAGTTATTTGAGAAGAATTAACCTTAATCTCAGAATAAAAGTTTTTTTGATAAATAAGAATAAATATAAAAAAATTAAATTCATAAATCTAAAGTAAAATTTAATTTATACAAATGTTTAATGCTGCTCTAGCAAAGTATATATAGAGTTTTTATTGTTAAGTAACAATTTTTCGTTTTGTAGCGCTCACAATTATAAAATGAATATAACGCCTCCCATCAAACCACCGCGAGGGATCAAACCAACAAAAGAAACGGCAAGTAAATTTTATAATTAAAAAACTTCTCTTATTTAATTATCAGAATAAGGTGTCATATGTCTTGCATAACTATAGAGTGGTTTGCTGATCTCAGTCATCCGTGCTTTATCAGCGAGTGAAACAAATGAACAACGTGAGATTGAGAAAGCCAAGTTAGAAAAGGAATACAAACGAAGTGATCAACGACTGGAAGAATTGGTTTCATCACATGACCAGGATCTTATAGAAGTTATGCAGGTATATATGAATATGTATATTTGAATTTAACAAGAAACTTTGAATTTATTGTATGTATATATTGTGTTATATATTTTTTTAGATATTCAGTGAACTCTCTGAAAAAGTTACATCGGCGCGAGAAAAGATTCATGCAGTAAAGGAGAATCTGAATGCATGCAAACAATTATTGAGATGTAAACGAGAGGAGTTATTGAATTTATGGCTGGAAGGAATAGAACATAAACAAGTCTTACATCTTCTAAAAGATGTGTAAGTTATACGTACATACAAGTTAGATAGTTCTATCACTGCGTTGATAGAAAAGTGATACATCAAAATTAGCAACTTTTCAGTAGGTTTAAGAAATTCTGAATATATTTGAGATGTATGTATATTAATACGTATTTGAGATTTTAAAAATGTGTTTTCAATTGTCAATTGAATATAAATTAATTAATTAATTTTTTTAGGACTTCAGATTCATATGGACATATGATAACAGGTTTAACTGAGCCTGAACTATTACCATCCAATATATCACATGATACTTTAACAGATCAGCAATCATAAATCTCATTATTTTGTATATATATAAAAATAATTTTACAAATAATA